AACGACACATCACTACTGTGTGGACGTGAACTTCCAGAATACATGTGATGCAGACTTCACAACAGAAGAAGTAGAAAAAGCAATGAAATGTTTATCTTTGGATAAATCATCTGGATTGATTGGTCTCACGAGTAATTTTTTTTTATTATCATTTTTGAAATCAACTCAAGGGTTTGTTTCTCCATCTTGTGGGGTCTGATGCTGCCACAAACATTCCTCCAGCTGATGAAGATGCAGTTGAGAACTGGAGGGGCCTGACTGTTCCGCCCAAAAAAAGGAAGAGGACTTCCTACCTCTGTCCATGTACCAAATGGCTCCATGCAGATGAATCTTTTAGAGCCAAAAGACTGAAGGTGGGATTATTAAAAAATGGAAACCTTCATCAGCCTATTAGATTAGGGGAATCAACAATCTCTGTGCTCAATACCTGTGCATTTGATGCATTTTTTCAGTGCTTATGTTGTGCCTTCTGTGACAGCTCCACATTTCAAAATGCTGTTCTGAAGGACAGTAAAAACCCAGTCTTACAGCTGGTGAAAGCCATTGCCACAGATGGTGTGACCCAACAAACGTAAAGGAGGAGAGCAGAGCTGCTTAGTGTAATGTTTGAAGCTGTCTCGTTGAGGTGTGGTGCGATCCAAATCGATGCTCAGTGCAATATCTTCGCTGTAATTGCTAAGACAATGAGGAACATATCAAGTGTTTATTTTACAAAACACTGCTCTTCACAGCACTGCTACCTCAGCAAAGGGATGACAAGGGAAGTGCCATTTGTTCCTCCTGCCATCTCTGTAATCAAAGAGTCTGGTATGGCTCATCTTGGCACGGCTGTGGAAGCAGGACTTGGCCTACCTGCGTCTACCTGCCTACACTGCATACTGCAGGAGAGCTCCATGTGTGTGGGAGTTCTATGATGACCTGGGAAATGGAGTGACAGGAACATCTGAAAAGAAAAAAATACAACCCCATGCTGTGTTATACACAGTATAATAAGTGCTGCCTGCATTTTTCTGTTTTATTTGGTTCATTACAGTTACATGTGGTCAATATGGCTAGTGTGTGTTATCAGTAAGTTCAGTTTTGCATATAAAGTTAAAGTTCTAAATTAAAAATCTTTTAACACTCTTTTCTTTGTCAGTCTGATGTATATTTGCTTTACACACCCAGTTACCTTCACCTGTAGCCTTGAAAGTAATCGTTCCATTTTTCTGTCAATAATTTTTCTGTATTTGTTTTGTGTTGACCTCGTGGCTTAAGTCAGGGATCAGCATCCTTTTCAGTTCAAAGGGCCCCTTTTTCCCCTGCTGCTACAAAACGTGTCTAGAGCCTAAAAAAAGAAAGTGCTTATAAATATCTAGAAAATGAGTTGTTGTATCGTGTAAGCTATGGAAATGTAAATAAAAATGTTTATCTTTAGATTTTATAAGAAAATGAATCATATAACAACGGAAAAAAGTATTTGTTGAAAGGAAGCTAAGTGAGTCCTTTCCATAAAAATTGAAAATTAGGAAAGATGGGCAACCAACTTGAAAATTACAGCAAACAGTTTTGAAGCTAAGAAACATTAAATCACTTTTAAAAGCCTTGCACATTCTGTGAATAGTCAATGCAGATATTTCATAAAAAACAAACTGTTAACAAAACCATTTCTTGTTGTCTTTATAATAAAAGATTACTTACTTGGTCTTATAAGAGCCACAGTGGAGGGGCCAGAGACCCACATGTGTCTTTAGAGCCGCAGGTTGAAGACCTCTGGCCTAGGTGCTGTGGAATATTCAATTTTCTACATGTAGGTGGCAACCTATGAAAGCAAACACTTTATTTTTCTAAGACAGCCAAAATATAGAGACAAACTAGGTATGTAAAAAATAATAATAATTTAGGTATACGTGAATCACTTCACATGAAACTCAGTTTTCCACAGGAAAAATAAAAACTTTAGCCTACCTTGTGTACGTTTCTGCACTGGTAACAAAATAAATATTGACCTTTCCGCTGACTAAATTGTGTTACTAGAGTGTAAACTAATAAAACTTAATATGCAGCAAGCCTAAGAAAAGTGGACAGTCTTCTATAAAAGTGCAAAACTCCACAGCTGCTGAAACTCACTGCCACAGACACTGGTGTTATACAGCATAGGCCGTAAGAACCATTTTGGTCTGTTTTGGAGCAGTCTGGGGGGATAGTGACCTTTGAATGACCTGTAAAATAAAGTTTAATCAGAAACCATAGCAGCACAAACGCTAATTTTACCTGCACAAATCTGCACAAACGTAGCACTAACCGCTCCGCCTATTTGCCTTTACGTTTCAAGTGGGTGGGCGGTCAGCTTCACTCTGCTATATTTCCATGGCATGTGTGACATCAATGGGAAACGTTTTTCATGCACTTTCCACCAGTGGAAATCAGCAGATCATCTTCTCCATCTACAACCTCCTTGCTGAGATAACAGTCCATTTCTGTCTGTGCCTTCTCCTCCTGTGTGCAATTTGGCAATTCGTTTGTCCATGTTTGGACTTCTTCTGTGTTCTAAACCCGCAAATCAGTCTGTGCATGATTTCACTGCTCCTCCCATCAAAAAGTTTGCGCAAGCAAAATATCACCTATTGCCGATTATTGGTCTGACGATTGCCGGCTGGAAATTTTTTATTTATTTATTTTTACATATCACCCAACCTAATACAGACACACACACACACACACATAGTACCAGATTATATGACAGCCACAAAAGAGGAAAAAACAAAAACAAAAAAACCCAGAAACTCTTGTGTGAACCTCCTGGAGGGCAACATGCTGCTGCACAAAGACAACAAAGACAAGTTTCTACTTAAACTTTATTCAGTTTTTTACTGATTCCAGCATTTAAAACACGATCACATAAAACAGTTTCCTTCACAGGGTTCACGTCATAAAACACAAGACGAGATCACACCAGCTGGTCCCACACAGCCTCAGGCAGTGCACCAGAAGTGCTCACGCTAAAAAGCCTGTGACAAAAATTATGTCCACATACTTTTTGCTGGAGTTGGACTTTAAATCCAGCAACTGACCTGTTCCTGCGATCCCATTGGTCCAGAATATAAACTCCACCCTCCTCAGTGTGAACCATCAAAAATAAAGTAATCACAACAGTAGAGACGTTCTTATGTCATCATCAGCACATGTGGCAAGTGCTAAGATGTCGACTTCAAGTGAAGTGAAACAAGCCGAGGCTCCGCCCCCACCTTCGGTCAGCAGTAAGGCAGCAGGTGGCAGCGGCGTTAAGGCCGACGGTGACTCAACTGGCCAAACAGATCATGATGCTTCAATTTAAAACAAAGTCAGGTGACAGCTTCTGACAAAAACAAAAGCTAAAATTTCATTTGATCAACATCGAGCTCTGACTGGCTGATTCAGATAATAATAACAATAATAATAATAATAATTTTCTAAATATCTTAAAATGTAAACAGGAAGTAAAATTTAACCAAAAAAAAAAAAAAACAAACTTTTGATTTGCTCTGTACATACAACCAATCAAAACAGCTCCTAATCAATCAATTCCTAGTAGTCAAAAAACTGATTACATCGGGCCTTCTGATTGGTGGCCCAGCTAATGAGCTGCTAACGATGCTAAACTAACAAAAAGGGGAAAAAAAGTGAATTGGCCAATCAGAAGACAACTAGCTTGTCGTTTGTTGCCAACTACAGTATGATGTGACGTTACCATTTTTACCAGGTAATGCTGTAATGTGTGTCGTGCTAATTAGCTAACTTGGTGTTTAGTTCTATTAGCACACAGGCCAGCATGCTAATACTGAGTGTTAGCAAGCATTCATAGTGCTAAATAGCATGAATGCTAATGGCAGTGTTCTGTGATGTCAACAACCACCGCCTTTCTCCAACTAAACAGGAAGTAGCCCATGCCAGCACCAGCTGCCACAGCAATACAGAGGTAACCGTTGTAGGTCATGAAGACGAGCATCAGGAAGTAGCTGACGACCACCTGGATGATGTGCAGCAGGGTCTGTAGGAAGTGGGCGGGGCTCAGCATGCGCTGCCTAAGAGGTCAAGAGATAAGACTTAGCATTAGCATCAGCATACTAAATAATACTACCCTTCAATACTTGTAGCCCTGTTAGCATTAGTATTGCTTTTGCTTATAGCACCTAACACATTATAATAAGCTTAGAGTTAGCATGGAACCTGATGACTGAAACATCTTTGGATTGCTAAAAGTATCCTAAGCTAAAATTGTGTACATTACCATGGATTAGTGTTAGCAGTTAGCATCGGCAGTAATAAAGTTAACATGTTTTAAAGTTAACATCATGCACAAATGACAGCGACTAAAGTCTTATGTTGACTTACGGTGTTTAATGTTCAGTTTCACAAAGACAAAACATGTATTTATTTGTAAGAATTAGCCCACCACTAGCTTTAGCCTGTCCAGAATCAGAACTGGAATTATTACAGTTAGCATCATCAGCTTCCCAGTGTCACAGAGCAAGACACCACATGCAGGCAGGAAGTCCTCCACCACTGTTAACCCTTTAACATCCACCCGCATATGATTAGATTAACATTAGCATTTGAGTCAACTAAACCATTAGCAGGTGTAGGACTTCCTGTATGAGAACCTGCAATTAGAAGCTGCATAGAAGTCTGAACAGCCTGATCAAAGCAGACAGACAGACAGACCCACCTAGGACAAGAACCTGAACCAAAACCAGAACCCAAACCCATTTACCTGGGAAATAATTCCACGAAGCGGGAGTTACTCATGACAGGAGGCACCGCCCCCTCCAAATGTTGGCTGCCAATCAGTTAAAATTTGTGTTTACCATGAGGTAAATGACTAGGAATTCTGAGAGACTGACGCCTCCTACTCCTCCTTCTTCTCCTGTTTAACAGTTACCGTTAGCAACGTACCCAACCGTCTTGTGCGTCTCCATCAGCACTGTCCCATCAGCCCCGGGGAGTGGCATGGAGTTGTAACGGACGTTGACCTGACTGCGACGCAGAAGAACCTCACGGCCAATCTTCAACCCCTCGTACAGGGCGGCCAATAGGAAGACACCAATACATGCCCCCACCATCTCTGATTATGTCAAAGGAAGAGGGGGTGAAGTTAACAAACAGTTAACAGATCCAGTTATAAAAAACACATTCAAAATTCATACTGCAAGCAAAATTTCTAAAAGTCTAAATTTAATCATAATCTACATAAAATGAAAAATCTGAAAAACTAAACGTATTAAATTTAGTACAAAACACATTTTCTATACATAACCCTAAAGCTATACAGATATAACTACAAATGTAAATATAAGAATATTAAAATCATTATAAATTATAAAATAAGAACAAAATAAGAAAACAAAAAGAATTTAAAAAGTCTTCAAGTTTATTAAAACATTTAAAATTGTTATTTACAAACAGCATTAAATCTCAGAGGTAATAAAGGATCTTAGCCACAATTGTGCCGGTGACATCACTCACCTCCAGGTGAGTTGATGACCAGACCGGTGAACAGCAGCTCCACGTTATTGTAGCCGAAGTAAAATGTCATCATCTAGTTAACAACAGCATGACATCACACAGAGACCTTTCACTACATCATCTATAACCTGTTATTAGCAGTGATAAGCCCCACTTCTTACCATCATGTGACCTCCATGGTTTCCTTCCCCTCCTCCTCCTCCAGAGCCGTGGTCGTGCTCTGAGCTGGTGGGCGGGGCCATGGTGCTGTGATTCATGTGGTGATTCATGTGGTGATTCATGGCTGCTGTGAGACGAGACAAGAACCATCACCATCATCATCACGACCACCACCACGCTCTTTGGACTATAGCTCCCACAATGCTTTGGAATCAGTAACATTTAGTGAAAATTTCAAAATTAAAGCATCTGAACTCTGTGTGAGCAGACCAAATCACGACATCAGTCGCCTTTGTTTCATAGGTATGATTGAAACCACTGCAGCGCGGTACCTGTAACTTCTACAGCATACTATGATAAAATATTATGGTCAACGGTATAGAAACAGCTCTTCTGGTCTGAATCATGTCTGATCAGGATATTGATCACTGACCTTATTGGCTTCTGATAATGAAATTATCGGAAAGAAGTGGTGACTGTAAAGCTGAATATACACTGGTCATGTGACTGAGTCACATGCTTGTGGTTACCACAAACTGTATATAAAAGATAGATGTCAATGTGATATCACCCGTCCCCGTTTTAGCTTTTAGGCACTAAGTGAGGGTGCTGCTTGCTCCTCCTACAGCCATCTGTCATTCACCAGTAGCCCCACCCCCAGAATCCTGCCCTGCTGCCTTATTGGAGCGTATTTGAGAGAATATTTGAAAGTCTTTGTTTGGAATTAAACAAATTATGGTTTATTGCTGTGATGCAGTCAAGGTGCGTATGTCGTCTTTGAAATCCTCTCAGGTGTGGCAGTTACGCTGGCTCTCATGACGAGGCCGCTGCATCTGTAGACCGACCTGCCTTCTGTAGATCTGTTGCAGCCTGTTTTACCGTCGCCTTTGCAAACCTCTGCATAAGAAATGAGCAATGTGTATCTATGGAAACGACCCGCTGCGCCGAGACTGCTTCGTGGGATGTCAGCACTGCAGCTGCCGCCAGTGGGGCATCAGGTTTAAGCCACCCTCACCAGCCTCAGAGCGCGCTGATGATCTTCCTCAATGCCAACTCCTCCTCTCCAGCTGAGCGTCATCGTCACCCTCTGCTGCGACAGGTTAGCATCCATGCACGGCAACACCTGAGCTCACCTGTGCAGTTAAAATAAAGCTAAAGCAGCTGGTCTCCTACCTGTTCTTCCTCAGCGATCCTTGCTCGTCCATGCACAGACACCAACTGACCACTGGTGACATCACCACAGCACATCAGTTCGCCAACAGCTGTAACTGCAGCAACAGCCTGATGTCACAGAACAGGCGCCCTCACTGTAATCCGATTGGCCGTGAGGCCCCGAGGCTAAGGAAAGCAAAACCGGCCAGTCGGAACACTCTGAGCTGGCGTCTGCCATCAGCCAATTAGATTACAGCATCATTAACATTAAGGGGAAGGTTGGTAATCGCCGTCAGCAACCATTAAACCCCAAGTCATGTTTGGGCAGACCGCCTCCTATCTCTCTATTCAGTGCCTCTGTCTCTCACCCTCTCTCTGACATTAGTTTTGGTTCATTTTAGTTTTTTTCACTCTGTTTGTTTTGTTGTTGTTGTTGTTGTTTTATATTTTATTTATTTTTAAATGATCTTTTATTTTCAGCTGTAGTGGAGGAATTTCAGCTCTGGGATCAATAAACTTTATCTTATGTGACCTTTATCACTGATCAGCTGCAGTTTGGTGTCAATAAAGTTTATCTGATGAGTGAAGAAGCGTGCACCTGTGCACATGTAACAGCTGAACGTAGAGCACGTATGAACAAATCAAACCCAATCTCTGTCACGTTTCTATGGGAACCCAGAATTCTCACTTCCTCTTCTGTTGCTGTTCTTCCCGCTTGAACTCGTCTGGACGCCTCGCATGATTCCCGTGGCGTTCTCTGCACAAACAGGAAGTGGGGCACATTTTCTTGGTTCACGGATGCAAAGTCCCACTGACATACTCCAAAGCTGAGGAAGTCAGATCAGACATGAAACGTGTGTTTGGACACAGCAAAACTCCTGCTTCCTGATGATGTCATCACCTGTGATATCTGTCCAGAATAAACGTCCACAGAAGCACGGTGAGGGCACGGAGGACACTGCGCAGTGTTTCAAGTTCACACAAAAAAGAAACAGGATGGGATGAGGAGACGCCCTTTTCATCTGAGACATTTGCAGAGGAGGCGGAGCTTCTCAGCTTTTCCGACAGCAGACCATCCGTCGGCCAATCATGCCATTCTCTGTTACCTCTGACTGAAAGGCCTGCAGCACCGCATCAATCAGAACTTTTCATGACTTGAACTGATCAATAATGCACAGCAGCGGTCTGAACGTCAGTTTTCACTCTGAACAAAATGGGCACTTCCTGTGACATCAATTCAGTATTAAGTTAATTCATTTAGCGCCAAATCACAGCAAGGTGCTTCATACTGTAAGGTAGAGACCTACAATAACACCCACCAATCAGCAAGCACTTGGCAACAGCGGGAAAGAAAAACTCCTTTTTAACAGGAAGAAATCTTGGGCAGCACCGGGCTCAGCGAGGAGTGGCCATCTGCCGCAAGGGGAGAAAGACTTCGTGCTTCAGTGTGGCAACAGGAAAGGTCAGGTGTCTCACTTCAAACACCAGCAGGTCGACTGCTCTGCGTTCCCCTGTGTGACCATCAGTGCAGGTGCAACCACACAGGATGTTACGCCTTTCACACATTTCAAAATAAAACTAACTCAATTCTTCATCTTTACCTGCTGTTTTCCCTGTGAATCCTGTGCTCTGATTGGCTGATCTCAATTTATTTAAAAATTCTTACCTGCAGGACAAAGTGACTGGTGATCGAGCTCTGAAGAAACTGAAACAGCGAGAGAGGCACAGAGACTTTAACAGCAGATAAAAGCTGATTACACGACAACCTCCAGCCAGTCATAGGCTGGCTCCACCATCAGACAGCCAATCAGCTTTGAGCAGGGTGAACTCTGACTGCTTCATTCTGTCTCTCTCTCTCTCTCTCACACACACACACACACACAGCAGGAACCTTGATGAACCTGGATCCAGGTGAGAGGTGGATCACCTGTTTGAGGGTTCAGGGTGGGGCCTTACAGGATTGAACATCTCTGATTGTATTAATATACATTAAAGAATTCAACCAAACTTAATGAATTTGATTCAAGGGGCACCTTGAATCGAATGTGAATCAATAATCAATGACAAGTGTGACTGCGGCTCAGCAGGATAAGCTCTGAGCTGACTTTACCTCCTCTAAGGCTCTGACAGAAGTTTGGAGCAAGGTGATAGGACATCAGTGTTACCCACACTGTGAAAGCTCTGCTCTGATTAGGTAGTCTCTGCTGGTCCTGTTGCTGCTGACATCACATCCTGTTCCTGCAGATGAGCAAAGTGACTCATCGCTTCTAGCACTCATCCACCAGCTGAACTGAGCTCAGTGAAGCCGGCCCGAGGCGGCATGTACTTGGCCCTTGGGCCATGAATTTTCTCGCTGCTGCAGTAGACCTCCAGTCAATCATTCACACCCTGCTCCGCTTTGACCCCAGCAGTCACGTAACACTTTAATTTCAGTTCACATAGTTCAAGAGGTCCTACAGAAAAAGAACCCGAGCATGGCGGGTTCATGCCAAAAAGGTGTGACTTTATGGAGGTCAAAGGTCACACAGCAAGAATCAGACAGAGGAGGTTAGAATCAGCTGGCAGGTAAAACGACAACAACCTCCAAAACACCTGATCAGAAGAAATCAATCATCATAACCAACACCGCTGACCCACACCTGATGGTACATCTACTGACTCACAGTGTGCGCACAGTCAGCAGTGATCAGACATCAGGACTGCATCAATTCTGCAATCTACTGACAGGCGAGCAGGAGCTGCTGCAATACTTAGGGCAGAGATCAGAGGTTATCCCTGTGTGTGTCTTCTGCTTTGATTCCTGTAGAACACAGGTGTCAAACATAAGGCCCGGGGGCCAGAATCTGTATTTTCAGAAGCTTTACAGCTTTTCTGCTGGTAAAGACCTCTTCCCACTCACATTCACGCAACACCACAGCAAATACATAACAGAAAAACAACTGAATGACAGAAAAGTCCTTCTGTCAGAGCCACAAGAAAACAACAGTAAAGGAAACTCTTCAGTTATGTAATTACAGGATCTGTGTAATAAGCTACCAGAACCAGAACTTTCTCTGTATTTTACACATTTATTAACTTATCCTGGAAGATTTCATGTCATTATCTTTATCAGCAGCATTGTGTTATTATATTTAAAAATGATACATCCTGTCGAACATGCACTCCTTTTCTCACATTCACTGAGATCAAATGTTGGACTTCTTCACACCAAAGCTTCTCTGGTTTAAGATCAAAGCTGCCAGCATGGAGTCTGACAGGCTACAGAACTTCCCTGACCTCTTGAAACTGCGTGTGTGAGTGTGTGTGTGCGCTGGTGTGTACGTGTGTGTGTATTTCCAGCATAAATCTGAGAAACTGGTTCTACAGTCAGAAACAAAGAGAGAGTGTGTGTATGTTCCCAGCATAACTCTGAGCAACCGGTTCTACAGTCGTGTGTGTGTACATGTTTTGACATCTTTGTGAGGACAGAAAATTGGACAAAATGCCTGTGAAGCTCAAAATGTGGTTTTAGTGTCAAGGTTACAATTGGGTTATGGTTAGGTTCAGGCTGAGGGTTAAGATTAAGCATTCATTTAGATGGTTAGGGAAAGCATTATGTCAATGAGATGTACTCACGAACATATGAAAACGAGTTTGTGTGTGCGCGCGTGCGTGTTCATCACTGTGAAAACACGGTGTTTTCACAGTGATGTTATCTGAGGTCACGCCGTGGTTTGAGGACGTCAGGTTTGTTTCTTCTTCTCTGTCGGATTATGATCCAAGTGTTTTTGTCGCGCGCAGAAGACACACAGAATTCCAAAAGGTTGATTCTGTTCATCTGGACGTGGCGTCACCATTCAGGTGACATCCAGTCTCAGCTGACTGCAGGGTTCGAAAACACACACAGACACTCGGGTGAGTGGGATCCCTGAGGACACCTGGCCACTTACAGCCGCCGTGTCCATGTACACGCGCGTGCATGTGCCAGACTGCACCTGCTGTGCCGCTGCGTGTTGCCTCCGTCAATCACAGTTCGTCACCAAACTCCCTTTGAAATCTCTGGAATTCTGGAAGCAAAGCGGGCGGCCACGACAGCGGATCTGAGGGGTATTCACGTCACACAGCGGGGGGGTTCACAAGGACCTGAACTCTGAGGGGAGGGCTGCACAGAGCCGGAGTAATCACGGAAACCTCCCGTTTCCGACCCGGTTGCTGGTTCCGATCTCGGACCTGCCCGTTTACCGTTAAAGCTCACCTTTCTTAAACTGAAGGGTTTTTTGCAGGGAGTCTCGTATAACCGCCAGTCATGTGCTAGCGCGTTGCAGCAGAGGTCAGTGGCAGAGTTCCTGCGAATCAAACTCAGGTCAGCTCACCTGGAAAAGATCCGGAAGTTCCTCCAGCTCTCTTCCTTCGTCGGCTCCGAAGCAACAAACTCAGAGGTTCCGGGGGAAAAACCCAAAGAAGAAGAACCACGGAAAGAAGAAGGAGGAGGAAAAAAAAGTCGCTCAGCTCAAGTTCTCACCGTCTGCCTCTGCGCCACTACGCCGCCACTTCCGGCAGTGACGTCAAGACGTTTTTACGAAGCTTAGAGGAGGTTGAAAGGAAAAAACCGAATCACCAATCAGAGGGCAACTCCTGATGAGGGGGCAGAGCCTCGGAAGCCACGTCGTAGACTTTTTGTAATGACGAGTCAGCAGGGCAAAAAGTGATGCCATCACGTCACGTCACTTTATTTACTCTATCAGAGTCCAACAATTAAA